GCCGCGTCTTTGCAGGTGCGCGGCTCTGCCGATCCCGGCGCCAGGCCGGGTTCCCGTCGGGAACATGGACGAGGCGCCCCTGCTGGGCGGGATGTCCAGTCCCGAAGAGGAGATGGGGCCGGACCTGTTCGGCGCAGAGGGTCGGTTTGTTTCGGAAAACACAGGCCTGAAGGCGCCGGCGGTGGTGAAGGCGGAGGAGGAGGAGTTCCACGTGTTTAAGGACCCCTACCTGAGCCCCGCGGGCCCCAAGGAGCCCCTGCTGCACGCCTTCAACCCGCCGCTGGGCGCGGACTTCGGCAGCAAGGTCAAGGTGGAGCTGCTGGTGGATGACCACGAGGAGGAGATCCTGGGCCAGTTCCCGAGTCTCGCCGAGCTCGACCCCCTGGAGGACGCGGTGCTCCCCGCGGCTCCGCCGCCCCCGCCGACTTACAACGTGTGATCCCAGTAAGATGGGGGGGGGCACGGTACCCCCTCAGCCCTCCGGGAGCCGGGCGGGGAGGCTGCTGGCTGCCCCCGGCATGTCCCTGTGTCAGCCCCATCCCTGGTTGGTGCCCCGCCACACAGGGTGCAACCCTTTGTAACCCGTTCAGCCTGCAGGTGAATCACGTCCTGGGTCCCTGGTTCACACCCGGCCTAGCCCTGCAGGGGGCGCCCGACCACAGAGGAAAAGGACTGGAAAGTGGGGAACATGGGGAGAGGAGCCCTGATGGTCAGAGTAACTGTGTCTGTGAAAACAAACGCAACGTGGTTGACTTTTCATGTTCTTTCCTTTAGCTTTCTTCCCCCTTTACATTTAGAACGCCTGTGTCATACAGAGCACAGCGAACTCCTGCCAGTTCTCAGATAACTACCCTCCTTTGCTGAAGAAAATCATCGATAATTTTCTGCTCTGTCCTTGCTAAACAAATTCATGTTTTTAAGTATATTTTTTATTGATTTCACACAGAGAAGAATGGAGAGGGACAGAGAGAAACATCAATGATGAGAGAGAATCATGGATCGGCTGCCTCCTGCACGCCCCCTACTGGGGTTCGAGCCCTCAGCCCAGGCATGTGCCCTTGACCGGCATCGAACCCAGGACCCTTCGGTCCACAGGCCAACGCTCTATCCACTGAGCCAAAGCAGCCATGGCAACAAATTTATTTTTAAAGGAAGCAAAGGATCCCAAGGAAATGTACGCCCACCCCCCACCCCCACCCTCACCCCTGAAGGATCTAGTTTGGAAGCTAGGTGACTCAACCATTAATCCTTTGAGTAAGTCATAGGCTAAGCCTTTGCACTGCTGTTGAGATGGCTGGAGCCGGACTCCACGTCCCCTACGCCAGCAGCAGCCTTGGATTTCTCTGCTTTCTGGTGTTTTGGTTATTTTAGCGCAAGCACTGCTCCTTGGTGTAGAGCAGGGGTCCTCAAACTATGGCCTGCGGGCCACATGCGGCCCGCCGAAAACATTTGTTTTTTTACTTCACAATAAGATATGTGCAGTGTGCATAGGAATTTGTTCATAGTTTTTTTTTTTTTAACTATAGTCCGGCCCTCCAACGGTCTGAGGGACAGTGAACTGGCCCCCTGTTTAAAAAGTTTGAGGACCCCTGGTGTAGAGGTCCCATCTGACGGGGAGGGACCACAGAGCAGGCAGCCCCAAGCCCTCCTCACACAGAGGTCTCCCGCAGAACCTCTCAGCCGGCGTGAATGTCCATTTGCCAAACTTGCCCTGATCGCTTCTGCCTGTTGGTCCTGGCACGGCTCCCATACAAACACCATCTTTTTTGAAGGATTACCTGCCCTGTCTCACAGGCAGCTGGGCAGGTGGAGCCTAAGGGTGGGGGCGGAGGGTGCACGATTAGGTTGACTGTGTTTTCCGCCCTCCTTACATTTTTTTTTTTAATCCTCAAGGATATTTTCCCATTGATTTTTATTTATTTATTTTTCTTTTATCTCCCCCCCCGCCCCATTGATTTTGAGAGAGAGAGAGAGAGGGTAAACATCGATAAGAGAGAGAGAGACATCAAGTGGTTGCCTCCCATACGTCCCCTGACCAGGGCCGGGGATTGAACTTGCAACCAAAGTACATGTCCTTGACCGGGAATCGAGCCCGAGACCCTTGGGTCTGCAGGCCAATGCTCTAACCACTGAGAAAAACCGAGGGCAGCCCTCCCTATATTCTTATCACTTAAAAAGTATCTCAATTTTAAAACCCTCAATTCTGATGGTAATTTTTTAACTGAGACTTTTTAGTGTCTTTCTTACTCCATTGATTTTCAGTAATATCCTGGTATTTCTCCCTGTTCTTGGTAATTGGCTGGTGTCACTGAGGTGACAGTTGCGTAGAGCACAGCTGAGACACAAAGGTGGCGGTCATGCCCACCCTCATTTCATACTCACGTTGTCCTACTGTTCAGTTAGGGAAGCTCCACACTATCGCTAGCAGCTAGCGCGTTGTAAGTTACATTATAAATATCACCAAACAGCAGCAGGGACTGCAGGCTTTGCGAGGAAACAGCAAACAATGGGCCAGAAGGTTCCACAGAGCCGACGAGCCTGCTCTCAGGGGGCACTGAAGGGTGGGCACCTCAGGACGGTCCCGCTGGCTGCAGCTCCAGTGGAGTGGGGGCTGGCGAGCAGCTCGGGGGGCGCCCACTGACCTGGGAGTCCGCTCGGTCACACGGGGCCACATGGAGATCACACCTCTGCGCCCCACGGGCGGGTGGGAGACTGTGCCGCAGGGAGGGAGGGTGAGGAAGGAGGCACGCAGGCCAAGTGTGACTTCCAGAGAGAATGTCTGTGCTGTGCAGCTGCTGCACCCAGTGTCCCCCACGTGGTTTCTGAGCAGCGACCGCTTTTCCAGGTGGAAGTGAAGGAAGGAGGTGGCGCTGTGCCGAGTGAGAGCGCGGAGGAGGCCGCTCTGCAGAACCCTCCGTCCCAGGAGCCCTGCAAGTTCCCGTGCTCTCAGGACGCCGAGGATGCCCTGGGCGGCTCTCAGAAGGACGCAAACACCATGGTAACCCTGCCGAGAGAGCGGCTGTTGTGTGGATGCGGGGCCTGTATCGCTGTGACTGAGCCAGCTGCACTGGTGGTGTCAGTCAGCGTATGCCTGCTGAGTCAGCATTTTGGTTGTCTCCCCCAGAGGGGCATTCGAGCCTGCCTAACCCTCCCGCTCCAAGATCCTCACTCCAGCCAGATGCAGCAAGTCAAACAAGGATGAGGACATGGCTGTGTTTTTAACAACAGTGACCACACGTCACATCGGTCAGCGCAGACCCAGGCGGCCTGAGGGCAGCCGGCTGAGCTGCTGCGGCTGCAGGGCCGAGGCTGCTGCCCTCCTTGCCCACCTCCAAGTCCTAATACCACCAGCTCTCCCCTCGGAAAGGCAGTCAGTGACACGTGTGGTCTGTGTGCTACTTTCCTGTGATTCTCTTATCCAGTCTGTAGGGTGGCCATTATTTTTGTCCTCATTTTATGGCTGAGAAACAGATGTTACATAGGCGGCCTATCCGGCGCCTCTAGGATTCGGGCCCGCCCCAAGCATTCCGTGAGCAAAGAGCCCAACAACCAAGATTGCCCCCCACCCCCGCAGCTCTTTACTCTGAGAGAGGAGGCCTTCGCCCTAAGCCCACACTTTGCCAGGGAATGAACCCGGCTTAGCTCTGGCATGCATGGCACTCGCCTCTCTGCCAGGCCCCCGGGGAGCGAGGGCAGAGCTTCTCCAGGACACACGGACCAGGTGAGCAGGGCGGGGCCTCCTCCATTTACACCAGACCATTGAGTCAGGCCCCCAGGTGCTCGATGGACAGAGGCCTGGGGTCCACCCTGTGCCTCTCTCGCGCGTGCACGGCTATAATTTAACCCTCCAGATACAAATAAACTCCCACTGAACACGAATGCTGGCCCTCGTCCAGGGTCAGGGTGCCCAGCGCTCTGCCGGGAGCGCCTCACTAGCACGGGCTCTCCTGTGACTGGTAACACTGGTCCTTTAGGCTTGAGTTGTCCTGTCTCGGAGCCCAAAGGCCGCCGAGGGCAGAAGCACAGCCGGCCGGTGTTTGTGGTTTTCCCATCCGAGTGGAAGCTGTGTGGGCAAAACCACTGCTGCCCTTCGTGGGACGGGCCACCAGCGAGGGCTCCAGCCGGCTCTGCCTGACCGACGTGCCTGACTGGCGGGCCCTTGCCTCACGGAGGGTGTATTCATGGTCAGAGCCCAGCCAGGTGGCCTGAGTGCTGGCCAGGCCCAGGAACACTGACGTGGCTTCTTAGAATTTTCCAGTTCTTGGATTAACCTTTCTAAGTTGTACTTGTAGGAAATAACATTAATAGACGTTTAAAAAAATCCCACATATTAAATAAAACACGAGTGTGGCAGGAAAGAACAATTGTCATGAAATTGAAGAAGACTCTGAGTGGGCCGGGGTAGGGCAGCTCGGTGCGCTCTGCGCTCCCGTGGCCTGGAGAGGAGGCAGGGGCCTCTGTGAGCCCAGCCACCGTCTCAGAGAGCGTGTGGTGGAGCAAGGAATCGAGAACAGATGGGCAGGTTGCCATTTTCCAAGAAAACATAAATTCCAGATTAAAGCTATGTTCTTGGTGGAAGTTCGTGTGGGTTCATTCTGGGACTGTTTTTTTTGTTGTTGTTGTTTTTTATAGCAAAGGCGGAAATTTATTGAAGAGCAAGTACAGACTCCCACGTGGGAGGGGGATAGAGTCCCCCGGGGCGGCTTTGACAAGTGAGACCTGACCCTTGTGTTTCATTCCAGGTGCTATGTCAGTTGAAAGGCGGGACACCCATGCTGCGCATAGACAATCCGAGCGCGAGAGAACTAAAAGCACTCCATTTGGTTCCTCAGTATCAAGACCAAAACAATGCTCTACAGTCAGGTACAAAGTAAATTAATTCAAAAGTTATGTCCTATCTGTAAGTTGGTAAGTGATCATGTTTGGCTTTGTATATTGAAAAAAAAGTGAAATAGGCAGTGAGTGTATTAAGGAGGCAATTTGGCAAACTTCATGTTCCATAGTAGTGAGCTAAGAATGGAAAAATGTCTTTATAGACCAATGTATGTGCATTCCATTGACTCTCAAGTTTTGGGATAGCCGCCCCCTTCTTCCGCTAGCTGTGGATGGCTTGCCATCCTAACAGGTGACAACTCCTACCAGCAAGCCGGTGTGCTGGGGGTCCTGGTTGAAGCATCAGCCCTCCCAGCTTGAGTGGGGGGTTGGCCCTCAGGTGTGGTATAAACTGCGTGTAAGAGAAACGCCTTCATATAATCCCCAGGAGTTCTGAAATAACTGCATAAAATGCTGATTATCTGACACTCATTTACTCAGCAACTTCTTCAAACTGGCACAATAGTAATAAGCGACATGCAGGTACGTGATTATCCTGTAACGCCTTATGGTGACTAAAGAGACTGAATGGCGTAGCTTTCAGATTGTGCTTACAGAGGTTAGACAAGAATTCTTCAAAACTGGGCGTTTCTATGTGGACTGTATATGTAATTGCGTTTCTCCAAATCTTGATTTAACCAGAATATTTCCTTACCAGATTCACTGCCCATAATTTAAATCCACATTAAACCCAGATGTCCTCTCCATGGACCTGCAGAGTCTGGGCAGAGAGAGAGAGATTGTGACCCTCTTCCATCCGACAGTCCCTTCATCCAGGGACAGGCAAGGCCTTCGGGACTCTGCCTTGTCTCACTGTGCAGAGCAGGGCGGGGCATGGTCCTCACAGCCGGGACTTTCGGGCTCCGTTCCCTGGAGGTCAGAGCTGTCTCTGGTCCTCACACAGGCAGGGCGTTCTTTCCCACCCCACACCCCTTTCTGGCCATGGCAAGCCCCAGTGCCTTTAGATCCACAGAAGGACTTCCTTGTCATATAATCCCCATTCCCTTGCCTAGTCCCCTTTGTGATGCTGTAAACATACTAAGTATCAGCGTAAAATAACTGTATCCTGACCTAAGTCTTATGGTAGCATCACTCAGAGGCTGCAGGTGGGTGATTTGGGAGACGAAGACACGTCTCCTTCCACTGGGACCCACCAAGCCCTTGGTGTCTCAGGAATGGTTGTCACTGTGCCCTTGGGCCCAAGAAACACCTACCAGTTCTACTCCTTAAGTAGTTTGGGCTAAATAACCTGATCAGTATTTACATCCTAACAACTAAGTAACCAGTTGGAAAAGAAACACATAAATGGGAAGTACTTCACCTGGTGCCCAGCAGATGTCGCTGTGCTTTCTTTGAAAATAAACTTTCCGGCGGCTTCCTGGTGAGTGTGCTGCCTACTCCAGGGTACCTCAGCCAGCAGTTTGGGAACCTGGGTATGCAACATTGTTTAGGATAGACTATCCCTGGAGCTCAACCTAAGTAGCTTTATGGCAAAGAAAAGGGTGTAATTAGTAAAAACTTACATTGACTTGAAAGTTTTTATAGGATAAAAAACAAAGAGGATGAAGATAAATTTAAATGACTTTGCACATGATAAATCCATGATACATTTTCATGTTTGAACGTTCTTCCATGTGCACGTGGAAGGAAAACAATATATGCATCAATTAATTGTAATTGTCTTCCTTACAGATGTCCCTAAACCAGTGACTACTTTAGTAGGAAGATTTTTGCCAGTGCCAGCAAAATTAAATCTCATTACACAACAAGTGAGTCATGTTTTAACAAAAAAACAACAACTGTCTCTTGAAATTTTGATTGTCAAAGTTGTAATTTCTCAGGAAATATAATTATCCTCCATTTAAAGATCCACAGTGAACCATGTACCAAGTGTTCAGCCCCGTCCGCACAGTGACAGGCCTGGGAGGGGTGGATCCGACCAAGATGCGGCTCTTTGTCCCCCAAAACAAAGCAACATAAGACACATGACTCTAAGCTCCTGCAGGAGACAGACAGCAAACAGACCTAACAAGGGAGTCACACTGTGCGCCGGGACAGCAAAGGATGGGCACAGGGCATGGGGTCCGTGGGAGGAAGGCGGGCCCATTGGCTCCACTGAGAAGGTCTTGAAAGACAGAGGGAGGGAGCCAGGTGGTGCCTCGTGGAGGCAGATTCCAGGCAGGGCCCAGCACGGAGAGCGGACAGCGGGGCTGGGGTGAGTGAGCGTGAGCGGGAGGAAGAGGCAGGTGATGGAAGGGCTGTGCCTTCACTGGGCTTAAAGGGGCCGGCCCAGAGCGGGGGCAAGGCCAGTGGTGACCACTGCCCTAACAATCTCAGGCCGCGGGCATGGAGGTGGCGAGAAGCAGCAGCTCCTCAGGGTACTTTGAAGGCTGCGCCAGTGTTTGTGAGAGGCTGGATGTGGGAACCGGAACCGGCTGAGCCCAGGATGCCAGGGTCTTCAGCCTGAACATGGGCCAGGGGGAGTGTCCTCGGAGCTGAGAGAGGGGAGTGGGGGCAGCCTGAGTGCCCCTGGGAATGTGGAGTTCAGCATCTCTGAGTCGTTGGGAGTCGGCTCAGAGGGCGGAGTCGGCACACCTGGGATTGACAGCTACCAGACTAGAGATTTCTGAGTCTGGTTTAGAGTTAATATTTGTTGAGTAAATATTTCTCAAATGATACAATAGGCAGGAGGGAAGGGTTGCTAATGAGACATCAAATGTTCATGAGTCTAAGCCGTGGTCCTGTGAGCGCCGTGCACCTCCTCCCTCCCTCCTGGCCACCCACA